AACTCTCCCGCCGGAAAGAGAGGTTGAATTCACGATTAATCTAATTCTGGGGTAGCACCAGTTTCAAGAACTCCCTACCGGATGGCTCTTGCAGAGCTAAAGGAATTAAAACTTCAGCTTCAAGATCTCCTTTCCCGAGGGTTTATTCAGCCCAGCATATCCCCTTGAGGTGCACCGGTATTATTCATCAAGAAAAAAGACGGTACTCTAAGGATGTGTATTGACTATCGAGGGCTTAATAACCTCACAATCAAGAATAAATACCCTTTGCCTCTGATTGATGAGTAGTTAGACCAATTGCAAGGGGCAACGATGTTCTCAAAGTTTGATCTAAGACAAGGGTATTACCAGCTAAGGATCAAGAAAGAAGATATTCCTAAAATGGCTTTTAACACTAGATATGGCCACGACGAATTCTTGGTCATGCCCTTTGGACTGACAAATGCACCAGCCGCTTTTATGGATCTCATGCATTCAGTATTCCAACCTCACTTGGATCAATTTGTTTTGATTTTTATAGATGATATCCTTGTGTACTCCAAAACACTTGATGAACATAAAGAACACCTAAAGATAGAATTACAGACCTTGAAAGATAACCGCTATATGCTATGTTCAACAAATGTGAATTTTTGCCTAGATAAAGTGATTTTTCTTGGACATGTGACCTCCAAAGAAGGAATTATGGTGGATCCATCCAAAGTGGAAGCAGCGTCAGATTGGAAACGGCCAGAAAATGCAACTGAGATTCAAAGTTTCTTGGGATTGGTCGAGTATTATCGACGATTTATGAAGGGCTTTTCAAAACTAGCATCACCATTAACCCAATTAACTCGGAAGCAAGCAAAATTTGAATGGAATGCAAAAGCAGAGATGGGTTTTGAAGAGCTGAAGAAAAGATTGATCACTACTCCGATATTAACTCTTCCCGATGGAAGAGACAACTTTGTGGTTTACACTGATGCATCAAAAGATGGCTTTCGGTGTGTTCTAATGCAAAAAAAGGAAAAGTGATATCATATCCGTCTCATAAATTAAAGCCGTATAAACAGAACTACCCTTCACATGATTTAGAACTAGCAGCCGTTGTCTTTGTGCTAAACAAATGGCTCCGTTATTTATATGGTGTCAAATTTGAGGTTTTCATGGACCATAAGAATCTTAAATATTTATTTTCTCAAATGGAGTTGAACATGCGACAAAGACGGTGGATGGAGTTTCTAGAAGACTACGATTGTGCAATCAATTACCATCCAGGAAAGGCAAATGTGGTTGCAGATGCGTTGAGTCAGAAAGCTCAAATTGCCAAGACCATAATTAGAAGGTCTGAATTGATTGAAGATGTGGAGCAGTGGGAACCACAGGTAAATGGGCAAAGTATTGTTTTCGCAAATATCAACATCAACACTATCTGGCCAAAGAGGATCAAAGAGGCATAAGAAAAGGATCCAACGCTACAAAAATGTCGAGAGAAAGCATTGAGGGGGAAACTGTTGGAATACACAATGGAAAGTAATGGAGTTTTAAGATATCGAGGTCGAGTGTTCATTTTCCGAGATTCTTTAATAAAGAAAGGAATCTTAGATGAAGCTCATAAACGTAAATACTCCGTACACCCTGGAGGTAACAAAATGTATAAAGACCTAAAGCAGAAATTTTGTTGGGATAACATGGAAAGAGATGTTGTGGAGTGCATTGCTAGATGTCTCAGTTGCTAACAAATTAAAGCAGAACATCAAAAACCCTCAGGGCTATTACAACCTTTGCAGATACCGGTATGGAAGTGGGAACATATAACTATGGATTTTGTTCTAGGACTACCAAAAACTCAGAAGAATCATGATGCTATACGGGTGGTAGTGGATCGGTTGACTAAATCAGCTCATTTTCTACCTATCAATGTGAGATACTTATTGGAATAATTAGCCCAAATACACATAGACGAGATAATCCGTCTACATGGGGTTCCCACAAACATAGTATCTGACAGGGATCCACGATTCACCTCCGAATGTGGCGATACAATGTGCACTAGGAACTAAACTGAATTTTAGTCCTGCTTCACAACCTCAAATGGATGGACAATCTGAAAGAATCGTTCAAACTCTAGAGGATATGTTGAGAGCTTGTGTTCTAGATTTTGGTGGTAACTGGGATAAACATCTTACTTTGGTGGAGTTTTCATACAACAACAGTTACCATGCATCCATCGAAATGCCACCATACGAAGCTCTATATGGGTGGAAATGCAGGTTTCCGATTTTCTGGGATAAAGATATCAACTCCTCAAGCTATTCCTTGGGTTACAGATGCTCAATAAAAGGTAAAACTAATCAGGCAAATGTTGCAAACAGCCCAAAGTAGACAAAAAAGCTAAGCTGACAAACCGACGAAAGGATCTTGAGTTTCAGCTAGGGAAGAAAGTGTTTCTCAAACTAACTCCACATATGGGTGTGCTTCAAAATGGTAGAAAGGGAAGCCGAGTCCTCGATATATTGGGCCTTTCAAAATTACTCCAAAAGTTGGAATGCTCGCCTATCGGTTAGATTTGCCTTGGAATTTAACCAAGATGCATAACGTGTTCTATGTATCACTCCTCAAATCATACCACCCCGACCAAAGTCATATTATCCAATTTGAAGAACGGGAAGTGGACGATCGCTTAACTTATGAAGAAAAACCAATTAGAATATTGGATCGTCAGCAAAGAGTTTTGAGATCTAAAATAATTAATCTAGTGAAAGTGCTCTTGAATATCATAATTTGGAGGAGGCAACTTGTGAAATGGAAGAAGAAATGAGGAAAAAATATCCGGAATTATTTCTCACTTGTGGAATTTCAAGGACGAAATTCGCTTAAAGGGGGAAGAATGTTAGGCCCTTTACTTTAATTGTTTTTAAAAGTAATAAATGAATTTATTATGCACTAACACCCCTAATAACTCTAATTAGGTATATTCAGTTCTAATTATAGAAATGGAAGAGGGACATAGGACGCTTGGTACAAACTCGGAGGGGTAGACTTTATAATAATAGAAAGTATAAGAGTTTAATAAGAATAAGGATTAAAAATCTTATTCCCTCCATTCCAAAATATATGTCGTTGGAGAAAACCAATTTTTTTCAAAATAGATATCGTTTTTGCATATCTAGGCATATTTTGTCAACTTCTTTCAACATTACTCTTACATGAGAAATTGTAATTGTATTTAAAGTAGAAGTGTATTAGAACTAAATGATATTGGGAGTGAAATTGTATTGAGAATAAATAAGGATAGTTTAGTATTTTAACCAAATATTTACTTTCTCTTTAAATTTTGTGAAACTCCTCTAGCGACATATATTTTGGAATAGAGGGAGTATAAGACTTGCAGGTTACAAGTGTCCCCCTACTTGAAGGCTGTATTATCCCCCTTCCATTCCTATAGTTAATTAGTATTTAAAGGTCACCGTAACTGGATGAAAATCAGCAACAAAAAGGGAAAAAAAAAATAGAGAGTAGAATAAGATGTAAAAGAATGAGATAGGCATCCCTTCTGTCCTGAAGAGTCAACAATAATAAATCGAATGAGTAAGATCCAAATATTTAATTGTCGTTGCTAATAGGAAGTCAAAAGGAGGATGAAACCAAAAGAGGAAAAGGAAGACCTATCCAAGTCCAACTCCTTCAATTGTAAGCAAAACTTTGTCCCCATCTCTTGTTTTAGGACTTTGGGTTATTAATAATTACATATAAAATCATACTTTGTACTGGTGGATTTATGCTTTGTTTCTGGTAATTTTGATGCTTACGCATGAGTTCTCTTTTGTGAAAGAGGAGGAAGATGATGAATAATACTTCTGCAATTGGGCTTCAAAAAAAAAAACAAAAAGATGAATGATGAATTGGGCCTGATTATATTTTGGGCCGTGATGAATAGGAAGCCATTTGAATTCTTTTTTTTCGCCTTACATCAACACGATTGGGCTACGGACGGGTTGTGGCCAGGCTTTTGGGCAGAAATTGAGTTCCTGGGGCCTGTCACGGCCCGGGGGCCTGGGGAGCTGGTCGAAAAAACAGAATCGGAGAACCAGACATGACGATAAGAAGTTAGGGCTCGAATTTGGGAATAACGGGGAAGAAGAAGAGGAAATTGGAAAATCCTATTTAATTCTGAAACTTTTGATAATTAACTTACAGGCCCAACCGGCTATATATAGCCTATCAGGTTATAAAAACTATAATTAGCCTCTATAATTTCTAATTCTTACAATTCAATTCATGGGCATGACAAACCCCCCACTTAAAACAGTCTTTGTACCCGAGACAATCAATACACAAATTACTACTTCAAACTGAAACAACAGTCTTTGTACCCGAGACAATCAATACACAAATTACTACTTCAAACTGAAACAACAGAAAAACTATCAAAAACTGACAATGGAAAAAAAAAATGCGACACAAAATTAGTGCAAAGGAGAACTGCTTGAAGTTGTGACATCTTCAGTACTCCACAACAACCAATACAAACCAATGATATCAACTCAGTGAAACCAAAACATATGGTCCTTCACTTTGAGCCCTCAAAAATAATCAATTCCATCCAAGCAATAATCCAAATGAAATGTATCTCATCAACTATCACAACAGCTACTAGTTCTCTTGGGAAAATCGTTCCTCCAAAAAACTAGACACCAATTCAGGCCATGCTTTCAACTTCCTTGCTCTCCAACCTTAACATTGAGTTGTGAAGGCACAAATGTATTCATTGCTGGTAACCCCTTGCTGAATTCTGTATAAACCATCCGACAGATTGTCCACAAGGTTTTCAGAAGTGCTTACTGATTTGCTCTCGTCCAAAAATACCATTTCTCTACAGTTCCAGTACAGTGACTAAATGAACAAACTCATAGTTGAGATCAAGCTCAATAGCACAGTAGCTCCATAGAGTAGGAAACGAGTTTCCACCACTAAAGCATGTAGTCATTTTATCCCATGCCCTAAGCCTCTTTGTTCCTTCAAAAAATAAATTTCATCATATCATGCTTTACAGTTTCATTTTCTGCCTCAATTGAATTCATAAAGTAATTCCACTTAATCACACAACCCTCAATATCTTGGGAAAGAGACTTCTTGTCTTCACTACTTCCACAATTAACATGATCTTCAACACTGATAAACTCGTCATATAGTATCACAGTATGCCATATGGAATTATAATCACTCAGTCCAAAAAGAAAATTTCCAAACAAACAACCTTCAAAAAGAACTTCATGACGGATAAACACACCACCAACTGGGAGAACATACACACTTACCACCAAGGAGCACTGATATTGATGCTTAACTCTGTTGCCAAGGATCAGAACACCTAAATTTAGGCCACCATACTGCTCTTTTGGCAAAACAATGGGACATTCCACACCAGCATTGCTATAATATCCCTTGATCCAATCTGAGCTCTTGTGAAGCAACTTACCATGTGTACCAGTTATTACTTCAGACCAGGGATAGAGATTTTTTATGATTTTCTTAAATACGGAGCTTATAATAACATAAAGATCACCACCAAACAAGTCAATTTCAGTAACAGTAATGTCAAGACCATAGCCCTCAACAGGTTCAGCCAAATCATGCCAATCTAATACAACTTCAAAGATAAACCAAGCAATTTTCCATCCAAAGTTCATGTGAAATGCAGAGTCATTCTCTTTGATAAAATTAACACGGAATGAACTATTTCCATTGGGTTTAGCTTTCAGAAGCTTAGATAGAAATGCAGCTGGAATACAAAAAGCCAAGAGACTTCCCACATCATCAAGCAATTTCACTACTTCTTGGTTTTCAGACATCCCACGAAAGTTGCCTCTTTTCAACATATCATTCCAAACATATTTAGGTGTTCTCTAAAAAAAATAAAATAAAAAATTAGGTGTCCTAGGAACTAAATATACTGCTATTCCACTGGGTTCAATAGCAAAAGGATTCAGACAATTTCTTCTTTTCATAACACAATTCTCACATATACTAATTTCAGCTTCAGACTCATTACTTCTTATCCTATCAAACTCACCCCAATCACCATTTAACTTATAATTAGGCATGGAATTAACTTCAGTAAGCATAGGAAGTACACACTTGATATCAACATAAGTATCACCTTACAGGCTATAGAAGGCATGCTCAAGTAATAGTAGTTTCCAGCCATCATCAAGAAAAGAGTATACGTTGCAGTAATCAGCAATACATCCACTCCCCTTGAGGTTTTCTTGATCACCAGCTCTATCTTCCACCATCTATCATAGACCACATTCAATGAACTCTCACGATTAAGCATTTTTGAACACTGACCTTGACAATCAGAGAAGTGGCACATAACAGAGGATTAAAATGCTCCAGAGTTGAAAATTCCCAAACTTGAAAAGTGTAATCGTTCAACAAACTGACTGCAAAACTTGACAGCCTACTATCTTGACAGCCTACTATCACTCTTCTTAAGCTTCGCTACTTTCTGAAAACCTGTTTTGAACACCCAATAACTACAAGTAGAATGACTGGCATAAAGTAAGGTATTTGAAACAGTACCCTCTTGGAAACCAGTAGCTATTTCTGACCAAAACCTTTGAATTCTAGTATCATGCCTGACCGCTACTGATTTCTTACCAATAAATATTCACTCCAAACTTCCATAGTCGACATCCAGGGAACTCAATCGAAGTCCATTACCGAAATGAACAACCATAGCATCAACAACAGATTCCAATTCTGATTCAAGAAGCACCATTACAGTTTTATCCAATCTTAAACTCAAGTTTTCACTATCTTTACTAACCAGAATCATCATATCAACACAAACATCATTCAAAGGCACATAATCAATCTCATTAAGTGGTACCTCCCTTAAATTCACTTATCATCACATACCACATTTCATACTCTTTACTGGTTCATCTGCATCTCTTAGTAGCACAATAGAAAGGCAGTAATCCACCCGGATCAACAAGAGATGACCCTTTATAAACCACAGAACTATCAATACGATTCCAGCACTTGTCAATACCAAATGACCTCATAACAATAGATATTACATCCAAATTCGATGAATTACAGTTCCGTTTCGCACAAACATCATCAACCGAATCATTTAAACTCAACGCATCAACATTCCAATCACTCAATTCCAGAGTCACAACTTCACCATCATTTAAATCCAAAATCACACTATCATTTTCTTCATTCAAATGTGCAGGAATATCAACCTTGTGATTATAATCAAATTTAGCCATAGGATTAACAGTAATCTTCTTACCAATATTCCTTTCTTAAACCAAACAATCGCCAATTTCGAATTCTGCTCCCAAACTATTCTGACAAATGGAGAAATTACCTTTCGTTTGGTTCTCAGGAACTTCATCTGCCTCCACTGCAGTCGATGCGTGGGTTTTATCCCCCGCTTCAAGCTCGGATTCTTCGTTCACAGTGGTTGGCATTTCGGCTGATTCCTTTAGTGGTGACTTAGCTTCCTTCTTGGCTGAAGAATCCGCCGGTGTTGCCTCCCAAGTACAAATCACTGTGGTTGGCCGAATAAAATCACCAAAGCTCCAATTGTTCGGCGAATTTCTCCCCTGTACACAGTTGAGAAACGGAGAGCAAACCGTACAGAAATTGCAAGGGCTCTCTGGCTAGATAGAATTTCGCAATAAATAGTTACGAATCAGGCCGTATGGAATTGAAGGAGAAAATTCGCTCCATTCTGTCAATCCACTGGCTGATGTTTTTTCCTGTAAAAGGGGAATTCTGTCCGGCGAAAGTTCTGGAAGGTTGTAATTTGTCGGACTGGGTGGTAGGATTTCGGATGGGGAAAGTTTTAAGATATTCTGAACCCTAAGTTGGTTGTCGTCGGATTTTATGAACTCCATTGACGAAAAAGAAACGGAACAGAATAGAAGCTTGGAGCGAACCACAGAAATGGAGAAATTCGCTCAGATTTCAGAATGTGGGGGGAGAAGAGAGAGATTTTAGACTTCAGAGCATTAAGAAGCAGAATGGGAAGAAGAGTGATGTAGATTTCTACCCGAAATCCCCAAAATCGGAAGCGAAACACATGGATATGAAAGGTAACCCTTGCCCCGGACTTTACCATTCCACAAACACTCTTTCAGGAGTTTATTAATAGACAATGAAGCACTGAATGATGGCAAAAACCCAGTAACCAAACTGATTTTCAGAATACATGCAAAACCGACGAAAGTAGTAATTATAACAAAAAATGAACCCCAGGCAAACGACGTCGGATTGCCCTGAAAATTTAACACAATACTTATATTATGGAATGAAAATTTATGGCAAATTTTGAGCGCATTTGGACGCCTACAGCCCCAGTAACCAAAATGGGCAGTAGCTAAATGGATTTGGACCAATCTGTCACAGAAAATATATTGGATTCGTTTATATAGTAAACGAGTTTATTTTTACCTGAAATTTGGACACAATATCTCCAATACACTGAAGTTAAAACCCACCAGATTTTAGAATTTTTGGACAACTAAAAGTACTAAAACAAAAATTGGAAAAACAGACTGACCCTAAGTGATACAACCTGGAGTCATGCAATGTTTGGCTTAATAAATTGACACCCCTGGCCTACTAAACCCTTTTAGACTTACAAGATAGGATTTTCAGAAAATATGAAGTCAAACACATGGAGCACGCAGGCAGAATCGAAGACGCAAGGATCAATCGCAAGATATAACCATGAACACAATTCACGGTTTGGCTAGATTACTTAGTAATAAAGGAATTCGATACACAAATAGATGCAGCCACCAAAACTACACCTAAAAGAGCAATATGACATGAGATCTGAATGGAAAGAGAGCTTCGTATGCTACCAAGTTGATAACAACAACCAAAGTAAAGGAATCACTAACAATCGCAAAGGAAATGGATTCAACGACCTCGGCTCCTCTTAGATTGTTACAAACTTGATTAGAGAGCTCCAACAACTAGGCCAAACTCATCCCTAGCTGCCATACTCGTTGCTTGACACTCCCGGAGTGCAAACCACCAAAGTCCAACCTTGGAATTGCAAGATTTCACCAATCCATTAATGATCTCTCGGTTTCAAGCTTTGAAAAGCTACGGAATTTTCTTTTTTTTTTTTTTTCCGTTTTCCCCCTCTTTTTTTGAGGAAGAAGACTCTTTATCACATCAAACTTGGCTGGCTCCACAAGTTAGATGGTGAAGCAAGCAACTAGAAAAATCAAAAGTTGCAACTATGTCTAAAATAATACAACTAGCTTTCCTATACTATTAGAAAATCTTAGAAAAATAATTACTTGACTTAGTGGACCTTTCCTGGTCCCTAAGGAATCCCTCTTTCAGGTTCTCACACTTAAAATAACTTACAACATCAAAATAAACCAAAAATCAGGCCACAACATCAAATCGGTAAGTGAAACGGCTCTCCTGTGTTCTTGACTCGGCAAAATGGGCCGTTTTGAGAAAACTCTCAAAAATGGCAAAATCTCCCGGACAAGCTGGGTTCTACCTCCGATAATGTGTATATAAAATGTCAAAACGATCATCGGATGTAAAAATTGGGCCTGGGTGAAGAGTTGTCCGAGTAATGACCTTTTCCCGCAAACGGTTAGCCGAATAGGTGCATTTGTTGATTCTCTCGGCAAACATCATTTTTCCTCGGGCAAGTTGAATTATTTCCCCGCAAACCATACCTGAAAGGACCAGAAAACACTAGACTTGAATGGTAAGGAAATTGATCAACCTAGCGTCATACTCTTTCGGTATAGGTACTTCCATCTGACGTAGGAGACCATTGACACTTTCTTGCAACTTCTTGGCTTTAGAACGTGTCATAGGACCAGAAGACTTAGGTGTCATGATGGGAGCTTCCTCAGGAAGATCTACATCATCCCCTCCCCCTTGAAAAGGATTCATAGAATCTGTGGCTTCTCCTTCTGCGAAATCAAAGGGAGTAAGGTCAGAAACATTAAATGTTGCACTACCACCATACTCACCTGGCATATCAAGAACATAGGCATTATTGTTCAGCCTCTCAAGCACTTTAAAAGGTCCATCTCCTCTAGAATCAAGTTTGCATTTAAGCTTGTTAGGGAAACGAATCTTTCGGAAGTTAACCCAGACATAATCTCCAGGTTGGAACACCATCTCCTTGCGGCTTTTGTTTGCTAAACGAGCATACGACTGCTCTTCTTCTCAATCATATCACGAACCTTTGCATGGAGATCTTTGATGTACTTGGCCCTCTTTGCTCCATCTGTATCAACAATAACATCATTAGGCAAAGAAACAATAGAAAGGTCAAGTGGGGTTAGTGGATTAAACCCATAAACACATTCAAAGGGAGAGATCTCGGTAGTGCGTTGCGCTGTCCGATTATAAGAGAATTCTGCAATTGGAATACACTCTTCCCATGACTTCTTGTGTCCACGAACCAAAGCCCTTAGGAGAGAACCCAAGGTGTGGTTTACAACTTCCGTTTGGCCATCCGTTTGAGGATGAGCCGTGGTAGAGAACAATAACCTAGTTCCAAGCTTCGTCCACAATGACTTCCAAAAGTCACTCAGGAACTTTGTATCCCTGTCACTGACAATGGTCCTTGGCACTCCATGAAGCCGTACAACTTCCCTGAAAAACAATCTGTAATATACCTTGCATCATTAGTCTTTTTGCACGGTATGAAGTGTGCCATCTTTGAAGACCTGTCTACCACAACAAATACACTGTCATGTCCCCTCTGTGAGGTGGGGAGTCCCAAGACAAAATCCATAGACAAGTCAACCCAAGGACAAATAGGTACAGGCAAAGGAGTATACAAACCAAAGTTGTTGGACTTTGACTTGGCCTGTCTACAAGGAATACAAGAAGCACAATATCTTTCCACATCTTTTCTCATGCGTGGCCAATAAAAATGCTCACCCAAATAATCAAGGGTCTTTAAAACACCAAAATGACCCATCAAATAACCCATGTGAGACTCGGCAATGAGAGAATCACGCAATGAACAAGCAGGAACACACAAGCGATTAGATTTAAACAATAAACCACGATGCTTGTAGTACTTTTGAAAAGCACCTTTGTCACAACTTTCATAAATGGAAGCAAAGTCAGAATCATTACTATAAAGCTTCTGAAGAAAGTCATAACCAAAGAATTTACTTTCAAGAGTAGCCAGTACCAAGTTCCTGCGAGATAAAGCATCAGCTACCTTATTCTCCTTACCCTTTTTGTACCGAATCACATAAGGAAAAGTCTCCAAGAAAGTACTCCATTTGGCATGTCTTTTGTCAAGTTTTTGCTGGCCACTCAAGTAGTTGATTGACTCGTGATCTGTGTGAATGATAAACTCTTTGGGTAGAAGGTAGTGCTGCCAATGCTCCAAGGTACGAATAATTGCATACAACTCTTTGTCATAAGTGGGGTAGTTCAATTGAGCACCATTGAACTTCTCTGAGAAATATGCAATAGGCCTTCCATTCTGCAATAAAACACTTCCAATACCTACTCCACTAGCATCACATTGAACTTCAAACACATCATCAAAGTTAGGTAATGCTAAAACAGGGGCTTTTGTAAGAATTGACTTCAAAGTGTTAAATGCTTTTTCCTGTCTATCACCCCAATGAAACTTAACATTTTTCTTTGTCAGCTCATTGATAGGGGCTGCAATAGAGGAAAAATGGGGTACAAACCTTCGGTAGAAGCTTGCAAGTCCGTGGAAGGATCGAACTTGTGTTACCGAGGTAGGAGTAGGCCAATCACGAATGGCTTGTACTTTTTCTTCATCAACCTTAATGCCATCCTTACCTACAATGAATCCCAAAAAGACCACTTCTTTTTCGCAAAAAGTACACTTAGACATCTTGCCAAATAAACGGTTAGCACGAGGAGCAGATAAAACACAAGACAATTGAAAAGCATGCTCTTCTATGTCACGGCTATAAATCAATATATCATCAAAGTACACCACAACGAATTTACCAATAAACTCGCGCAAAACATGATTCATAAGCCTCATAAAAGTAGAAGGTGCGTTAGTTAACCCAAATGGCATCACTAACCACTCATACAAACCGAATTTGGTCTTAAAAGCTGTCTTCCATTCATCCCCTGGCCTCATCCAAATTTGGTGATATCCGGATGCTAAATCAACCTTAGAGAAGATCCTTGATCCACTAAGGTCTTCAAGCATATCATCTAACTGGGATTGGATGTCCGTACTTGATTGTGATCTTGTTAATCGCCCCGCAATCCACACACATCCTCCAGTTCCATCCTTTTTAGGGACTAGAATCACTGCACCGCACAAGGAGATAAAGACTCACGAATTAATCCTTTAGAAAGCAATTCATCTACCCGCCTTTGTAACTCCTTGGTCTCCACCGGATTGGCCTTGTAGGCTGGTCTGTTGGGAATAGAGGCTCCAGGGATAAAATCTATCTGATGCTCA